TAAATTGAAAGTATGGGTCCATGGACCAAAGACATAAGCATTAGGGATCCAATGAATTAGTATAACCCAACAAAGGAAGTTTTAATTCCATTTAATGTGGACAAGTCCAAGTGATACAAAGAAAGCTCTATATGATAAAGTAAAGTCCAATAAGGTAAAAGAAACCCAAATCAAGTTAAAGCCCAAAGTAAGGCCATGACATAATAAACCTAAAGAAGTACTATATGACTAGGAATTTAATTAGAATTCTTTCCCTACAAGCAAGAAGCCCACAGTTTTACTAGAGAAAACAAGCTCTAAGAAGTCAATTTAAAGTGTCATAAAATCATGGAAAAATAGGCACAAATTAGGTCAGGTTAATAGGTTAAAGGTCCATAATCTTAAGGAATAAATCATGGTCCAAAATTAAAGGAAATCTTTTCCTTCCAAGCATTTAAGATCCGCGGACTAGGTGTAGGAAATGAATTTGATTTTATTTGATTTTCAAGCCATTAAATGCAAATCGAATTTCCTTAAGTCAAGCCAGTCAAATTCCTTTAAACAAGGAAGTTAGGATTATGATGATTAGTAGTCAAAATCAAGCAAATTGATGACAATAAGTCAATCAATCAAATAATTCTGTTTCTTAAATCAAGGAAGCAACCTTTATGACGATTAGTCACACCTCATCAATCCCTTAAATCAAGGGAGCAACTTTTAATGACGATTAGTCACACATCATCAATTCCTTAAATCAAGCAATCACTAAATTTCCTTAATCAAGGAAATTGACATCATGTTCTTGTCCCTAAATTAAGCAATCTAACCTATGACCACAAATCACCACCTTACTCTCATTTAATGTGATCGAAACCTACCAGCAATCAAGTAATGGCAAGGCTTCTAGGTTGCCTATTTGAACAAGTTTTAGTCTCTCCTTTTTCCCTCTATAGCCGCGGCACTACCAAAGGAAAGAACAAAGAGTTTAGTTCATTTTGTGAAGTCCATGAATGCTTCGAAATGGTGAGTGTGTTAGTGAGAAATACCTAATTGTTCCAAGATCAAATACAAGCCTGGATCTTAGTCCTTCTTCCTAATAATTCCACCAAAGAACCCTTCATCTCTAAGCAAGAAAAATCCCTCTTCTCCTCTCTTTAAGCTTGCGGCCTTGTATGTTCAAGGAGGAAGGAAGTTCATTCAAGAAGATTCAAAGTAGTCAAAGGTCAAGAAGTGTTTCCTTAAGTCGTTGATCATCATCAAAGGTAAGCCTATGACCTTCTTGGTTAGGAATGACATGTAAAAGCATGAAAGTGATATCCTAAGTATATGATCCCTAGAAGGCCGAACCATGTATGATAATTATAAGCATGAAGAGATGTTTAAATGATATGAAAGATGATGAAATGATGATGTTAGATTAGCATGTTTAGTAGCCTAGGTTCTAAATCGATTTTGCATGATCATAACCTTAGTTGGCCGAATATATAAGATGATGTTTTGAATGATGCTCTAGGATTTAAATATGATAAATTATCAATAATGTTAGAAGCATGTTTTAGAAGTAATCCCTTAGGTATTTTAGGGCAATAAGGCCGAATGGTATGTAGCTAAAAGAGGTTTTATTTGATTAATGTTGAAAGGATCTAACCATGTTAAGTTAATAATATAATTGAAAGCATGTTTTAAAAATTATATTCCTAGATGTTTATCTATGGTGGCCGAACCTATACATGCCTAGAATGAAATCTTTAATAATTCTATTAAGTGTTATGATAACCTAATAATGTCCTAAAACCTACACAAGTGGGTAAGTAAGCAAAACAACTCGTCTAGGTAATTAAACCTGCAAAGCCGAGACCTATACATGGATAAAACACAAATGTTGAATGTTATATAAGTTACTAAAAGATGATATGATGATGTTAGGGAGTCAAGGGAGCAAACAGGCAAGTAAAGAGATCAAAAGTTGAAAGTATACAAGTAAAGAACGACAAGTACTGTAAGTGTTTACAGTTGTTGAAGTAATCTCTCTATGTATGCCACTATTATGAAACTATGATAAGTTATGGTCTGACTGCAATATGTTTATAGTGCTTTACATTATGTGATTATGATATTTTTGAAACTTAAAACCATGCAATTAAATGTTGGCCTGTGCACTGATACTCCAGTTGCAACCTGACGAGGACTCTGGGTATCTCTGTAAGTCCGTAAAAGCCGGCAGGAATATGATGATGATGATGATGATGATGGCATGATATTTTTATATGATGATGTTAAATGTTCCATTTTGTATTGTTATTATAAACTGTTGCAGGAGTAAGCGTCATAGTTGGAGAATGCTCCAGCTGTGAACCTTACTGAGATTTTCCCCAAAAATCTCACCCCCCTTGACCACCCATTTCAGGAAAAGATGAAAGAAAGTAATAAGAAAGTTATGTGGGAAAGAAAGGGTAAGAGACTGGTACGTAAAGAAGAAGAAACTCCACCTACCTGGGAAGAGAAACTAAAGGATCTAACAGATAGAGGCCTATGGACTGAGTCTATGAAATTATTAATAGAAGCTTTTCCACATTATGATTTCGATGAAGCACTAAGTACACAATGGCTAGAGGAACCACAACCACATTATGACTGGGCTTATGATGCGGCATAAATTATGTTTTTATTTATGATTAGTTAATCTTTTTGGGATTACATTAAATAATGTTTAGTGTTATTTATTTTGTATTGACGATTTAACGCTTTTAATTTATATGGAATAAGTATGGTTATGTGTTTCCATTCCGCACTCTGATATTTGCATTCGTAAAGTTTAAATTTAGACTTCCGCGCGTTGAATGCATGATGAAGGTGCACCCTATATATATTTACACATTTGGGGTGTTACATATTTCGTGCCTCAAATGTTGATCTCAATCAAATACAAAAATTTTGTTGGCATGTAATTGTAAATTTTGTCAGATTCTGATTCAATTTAATGATCTTAAAACTTTATTTGAGGGTAACTTATTCAACAATTAGAATATCTGTTTTAAACTGAATTTGAAATTTATGGTACTGTTGGCGCTGCACCCATGATTTATGTAGTGTTTTTGTAATGCGACCTTTAAATTTTTACCTTTAAATCTTACGACAGGTCAGCTCTGAGCTTGCTGCTGTGGCAAAAGATACCGATTTGGTGGGAGAATCATTCTGTTTATTTTATAACATTACTGTGGATTTGAGAAAATCCAAGACAAGCATATTCTAATTAAGCTTTCTTTGTTTGGCAGATAATTTTGGAAGGGATGGGTATAGCTCTTCATACCAACCTCAATGCTCAGTTTCATTGTGATGCTTTGAAAGTAAGGTTACTTGGTTTATGCTATGCAGATATTGTTGTGTTTCAGTGTGTAGTTACTACATCATTGTGTTTCAGTGTATATTCACTGAGCTAACATGGAAAGAATAATAATTTTATCAAACATTAACCTGCTGCCACTGTAATACAAATTACAAAATCAAGTATTCGCGGCAATGGTAAGTTTGTAGCATAAACATAGTTAGCAAAAACAAACCAGAGTGGTTATTGACAAAAAATCCTAAAAAAAAGTAAAATAAATTGGTATTGATGCTTTTCGTTTTCTTTTTTCTTTTTTCTTTTAAGGTAACACAAGTAAAGCTAGTGGCAGACTATTAATAATGGTTAATAAAATAATTAAGCTATTTGGTTTTTTGTATCTGGAATAAAAGATTCTAATGTATTTGATATCTTTAGGCGGATATGAAATTTAGCAATTATTAACTGGTGAATGTCACACACCCCTATAGAGCTGTTGTAATGTGAATTGCTTTTAGTTTCTAGTCCTACTTGGCATTCGTTATGCATAAATCAATCTGTATTCTGTAGCGGGAATCTTGATTTGCTTTCAATTAATTTATCTGTTTTTGGCATACATTTAGTTTTCTTGTTTCCTGTTTTAGCACTAAAGCTTATGCATTTTGAGTTACTTACTGTGATCTTTCAATTTGTATTTTGAATCATCCAGTGACAGGTACAGCAGTGACACCCCCAACTCCAGTTGGTGGTGACTTCGCAGTTGGGCTCGAACAACTTTCTTCAATGTTTAAGGATCAGAATGTTTCTGCTTTACAACAATACGGGGGGGGGGGCAAGTCTACAATATATTTTGGGGTTGCTTACACAGATGTAGTCTGAAAGATGGAACAATAAACTGGGAAATGTTGCAGTTCATGTCCAAATTTTCTTGTCAAGTTTTGCTCGGCAGAGTATGTTATATTTTAGTTAGAAGGAAACACTGTTGCCAATTCTCAATTAGGCACACTAAAGTTAACTCCCCATTTCTACCTTTCATGGAGTAAATTCTTATTCATTTTTTAATATATATATATATATATGCCCAGGTTGGGGAATTCTATGAAGCTATTGGAATAGATGCGTGTATTCTTGTCTGTGCAATAATAAACATGTACAAATGCCATTCTATGAATAATGCTTGTGTTTGGATTGCTTTTCTAGGTTGAGCTTTTGTTAATGGTTTCTGAAAGCTTCATTAATATTTTGAGGGTTCATGTTTGTTGATATCATAATTATTTTAAATTTATTTTTTAATTTGAATATTCACTGCTTGGTTTTATTTAAATTCTGAGATTAATTTTTTTTTAACTATTTATCGAGTAATCCAAGGCCAAGTTTATTGATATCATAATTATTTTAACTTTATTTTTTAATTTAAATTCAATTTTTCTTATTTTACAGAAAAATTGATTTTTTTTTAAATTTTCAACAAATTTGTGGGGGTCTTAAACCTCCAGAAACTGAATCATTTGTGGGGGTCTAGAGCCTCCAAAAAATATTTTAACAAATTGTGGCATTGCACATAAAACCTCCACAAAATATGTTGTGGCGTAGGTAAAACTGGGGGTTATTGAGGATGCCGCAAATATACTTTGTGGAGGTTAAAGACCCCCACAATATGAAAATATGACCTCCACAAAATGCCTGAATTTTTGTAGTGTTAGAACATGGAAGGTTCCTAATTTTCAGCAAAAAAAATTGGACGACGACGTAGAGATGATTCTGTTAGATGAAAAGGTATTTGTTTTTGTTTTGTTTTTGATATTATTGTTGGTTTGCGGTCCATGTTTTTAAAATGTACTAATCTATGCATGTGTTTTGTAGGGTGGAAGGGTCCACGCTGCTATAAAGGGTTCTTTAAATATCTGTAACAAAATTCACGAAGGAGAAGTTTATTTCATAAAAAAATTTGGAGTTGGTTTGAATAGTGGGAGTTTCAGGCCAACTAAGCATGATTATCTTTTGTCCTTCAACTTGAGGACTGATGTAAAATCCACTATTGATTCTGTTATTCCCACCAATGGATTTGATTTTGTAGATTTTGACGTTATAGAGAAAGAGTCTTCTGATTCCCCTTATTTAGTAGGTTTGTAGATTTTGAACTGTCCACTAAGTCATGCTTTTGTTGTTTATGTGACAATATCATCTGTCTAACCACCCTTAATGTGTAGATGTCATCGGTTTAGTTTCTGGAATAGGGGAAGTTCGTGAGCATATTATCTCCGGTAGGAAGACAAAAATGGTTGTCGTGGAGCTTGATAACCTCAGGTATCTATTGGTTATTTGTTATGTGTTATGTTCATTTGATGTAAAATTCTATTTTGTGATTTGTTGCAAAAACTGTGCAGGTAGGGGTCACAAGCTCGAGTGCACTCTCTGGGAGGACTACGTGGACCAGGTGCAACAAATTTTGGGGAGTAATCAGTCTCCTCCAAACGTGATGATAGTTCATCTTGCTAGAATAAAGGGTTTCAGGGGTGAGTTCACATAAATATTTGATTATGATTTCATAATGGAATGTTTTAGTTTATTTCCCTTCTTATGGTTTTGAAATTAATAACAAATTTTAAAGGAAAAATTGGAATAACAAATACAAAGTATACGACGAGGATAATTATCGGTCCCGGTGTACCAGAGATTGTCGACTTCAAAAAAAGGCGCGAGCTGTTGTTATTCCATTATTCTGCTTTTTTCTTTATTATTTATCGCTGATTATTTGTAATGTTGTTGTTTTTTAGGCTTTCATCAGATGTCATTGATAGCGGTTACACGTTGTCTCAGTTATCAAGTCAGTCCTCGTATTCTTTTGAGAATGATTTCCTGAAAGAGACGGAAAGGAAGTGTATCAGTGATGTTAAGAATTGCAGTGAGGTTACTACTTGCATTACTTATGGAACCATAAAATCGATTGAGAGCAAATATAAATGGTGGTACAAGTCCTGTAATAAATGTCCATATTATGTTTATGAAGATTTCGAGAAATGGTATTGTAAAAACTGCCAAAAACTTGATGATTATTATCCAAAGTAAGATTTTATATCTATTTATTAGATCGTTCATTTTATTTATAAATAACACAATCGGTGGTCATGTGTTGCAGATTTTGTGTGCAGTTGAGAGTTATGGATCACACTGATTCTGCATCTTTCATTCTGTTTGATAAAGACTGTGTTGCTTTGTTGGGCATGAGTGTTGCGGATTTACGTGAGCAGCATTTCAAAAGGGTTTGTGTTCTTATTCCACTCATTTTTTTATTCATTTAAAGTTCTTATTAAAATTTCATTAATATTTTTTTTGCAGGGTGATGATTTTGAGCACTATCGTAAGGAACTTAATGTTCTTATTGATAAATCCATGTTGTTTAAAGTGAATGTGAAAAAAAATAATTTGGACTCATACAGTGAGCCTAGGTATCAAATTTCTAAAGTATGTATAAGCGAACCTGTAATCACATCCTTCCTTAAGACTGTTGTGGATTCGAATGTGAGTTATTTTTGTATTAACATTATTATTTCTATTTAGGTTTTGCTGTTCTCATTCTGCGTTTCAATGGATTTGATTTTTTTCAAAAAAATGTTGCATGCAATTTTATTGCAAAACATAAGTTAATTTCAAACAATATTTGTTTCTGACAAGGATGTGAAAAGTCAGACGTGTGATAGTGCAGACGTTGGTGATATTTCGCTATCAATGGTGACGCCGTTAATGAATCCTAATGATCCCCTTCAAGAC